TTGAGTCCTTTCCAAACAGGGCAGGAGGTGATAGGACCTGGAATGTCGCTTGACAGTCCTCTGCTTCCATCCCACATTGGGGGGGGGGCTCCCAAAACCTCTTACCTGGGACAGGAGAACAAGCAGAACAGCAACTGGTCTTCTCAGGGAGCAGGTTCACCTCTGGAATGTGGGAAGGACCACAGGGAGCCTAGCAGAGCAGCCACCGGGAATAGCATCCATCTGAGGAAACCCCTGGCATCTTCTTTCTTATCCCAAATCAACTGTTAGGTTGAGAAATATCTTGATTGGATCCCTTTAATTTACCCACACTTTTGAGCTGTGTCTTTTTTTTTTCAGACTTAGCTGATATAATGTTTCCAGAACAGGAAAGAAGGGGAAACAACATTTCCGAAGAGCAGCTGTTTGCAAAATGGAGACAGCCAGGTCTTGGGTGTCAAAGTGTCAGGGTTACAGGCTTTTGGCTGCCTATGAGTAACAGCCTAGCTGTGGCCCCGTCAAACCATCCATGGGACACAGGCTCCTTGAGCTCCCTTGGGCGCGGGGAGAACTAGGGCAACACGGATGTCAGCAAAGCATCATCCACTGGCAGGCCACTTGTTTGGTGGGTCCCAGGTCCCCCTCCAGGGGGGACGAGGACAAGGCAAGGGGCCCACGGTCAGGATGAGGGCTACACTGTCTTCCTACTGCCCTGTTTAAATCAGCTCTTTATTCAGGACTTTGTTTTAGGGGAAAAGATATAACTCCATTGTAGAGCACTTCAGTGGGCATTTATTTATTTATTTATGTGATTTATATCCTGCCCATCTGGTCTGGTCGACCACTCTAGGCGGCTTCCAATAAGGTATATAAGGATTTTACAAATAGTCCATAACACATACAATAATAAAACAAATAATAAATGAAAGGGAAAAAAAAGAAAGAATTAAATACTGACAGGAGGGAAGGCCTGAACATACAATCCATCCTGGATCCCAGACATTCCCCATGAAACAGCAGCAGATGCACATCAGCTCGTTTCAGTGACTGAAATTCTGTTGCATAGCAAAATAAGTCACATTATAGCCGACCCACTGGATCACTGGCGATTTGGAAGTCGGTTCCCCCATACAGTCTACTGATTCAAATGGGCCTGTTCTAGTTGCAACTTACTTTAGCATAGCAAAGTCACAACTAGAGTAGACCCTTATGAATCAACGGGAGATACAGAGGAGTTGACTCAGCCAACCGCTAGTGATTTAATGAGTCTAGTCTATTGCAGTTTACTACACTAAGCAACAAAATTTGGGCCAATGGCTGTACTCTTAGTTGAGGCCATATTTTTTATGTGCTGCAAAGTTGGAACCAACTTATAGTGAACACAATATGGCTTTCCAGGTAAGTGGAATGTTTAAGGAGTGGTTTTCCCAACTCCTCCCTCCCAGTGAGTTTCCATGGCTGTGCGGGGATTCGAACCCAGTTCCCTCTACCCTGGTCCATGACTCTATCCACTACACCACAGCAGGTATCTACTTGAGGCTACCAATATGATACTGACCAGTGAGATTCCATTTGACTTAAAACAGACATAGGAGTGGATTCTACGTTATTTTGGCCTGGGAAAGCATGCCTCATCTGGTCATCTGCTTTGCAAGTCAACACGGCTTGCAGAAAGAAAAACATTATTCAGAAATAACTGTGGAGGAAGCTGTGTTTTGCTTCATGCATGACATGAATGATTAAAAAAAAGTGTGTGGTTGTATTTCCAAAAATTGAGTCAACAGAACCTTCTCTGTTCAGAATTTCAATTCTTCAACCTCAAAGAGAGTATTCATAGCAAAAGGAGAGCAAACATCATTGTAGGCTTGGCTTCAAGTCTGTTGGCATGAGGTCAGTGCCTTCGTTGAAGTAAACATTCTGCGCAGGATCAAGGACTGAAATAAAGTTGCTGTTAATGTTATTGGGGGGATGATTTTTTTTTCAAATGTACAGAACTTAAGATCTCATCTTTTTTCCTTTTAGTAACAGTGAAGTTCGGTTTTGAGCATGCAGAAGAAAAAGTTTGTATCGCCACTTTTTGTTCTGCCTAACAACCCATTGTTGGGATTTCTTATGTGGCTGAAGAGACTCATGTCATGGAGAGTCCTGGCCCCCCGCCAATCCAAACAGAAAACATCAACAAGTGGACTGTCGTATTGGGAGCCTTCCATGAGAGCAGCATTGCAGACAGAAGAGCCTAAGACTTCACAAATGAGAACACTATGTCATGCAGTTACTTCCGTTTACCATTAAGAAATGGCCCGAGATGTTTTTCCTGTGCTGGTAATCAGTATTGTGTCAGTGACCCTTGGTGAAACTGGTAGAGTATTTAAGGCTAGCACATAATAAGCATGGAATGTGCGAACAGGTGCCAAGATCATATCCTGATTGTGTTTTTTTTAAACACACAAGTCCTTAGGATTTGCAAGCAAGCATGGAAAAAGAGAGGTTACCTACCTGTAACCATGGTTCTTCCAGCGGTCCTCTGTGAATCCACATAATTGGGTTGTTCTGCGCCTGCACAGGACCTCTTGGAAGTTTCTAGAGCTTAAAGGCATGAGATTAGTGGGACATTCCCCCGTGGAGCGCATGCTCCACCCACCAGAAATCCCCTCAGTTCCTGTAAGAGTCCGCCGCTGTCAAAAAACTATATTAAAAAATATGGACAGAGGGAAAGATGGGCGGGATGTGTGGATCCACAGAGGACCACTAGAAGAACCATGGTTATAGGCAGGTAACCTCTCTTCTTCGGCGCCTCTGTGAATGCGCACAAAGGTGGGTGACTGACAAGCTCACTTACTGGATGGTGGGACGTCACGGTAAAACGGAGGTCAAAACAGCTCTGCCAAAAGTAGTATTTTTTTGCCCGAAGATCAAGATGGTAATGTCTCACGAAGGTCGATACAGTAGACCATGTAGCTGCACGGCAGATGTGAGGAAGATCTCAATCTGAGTCCCGTGTGTTGGATAATAGCGGTTGCGGATGCCATGGGCCCGAGAAGGTGCTGGGCTTGATGGGCTGATACCGAGGCTAGAGGTCGGAATGGTTGGATTGCTCACCTCAGTTTGGTGCTTCTTTCTCGTGGGATAAAGGCTCTGGCTTGTAGGCAGGCGAAATACGCTCCAGTATAGGTGGCAGTCTGAGAAGGTTTGAGATGGGATTTGGCTGGGACGTCACGGTAAAACGGAGGTCAAAACAGCTCTGCCAAAAGTAGTATTTTTTTGCCCGAAGATCAAGATGGTAATGTCTCACGAAGGTCGATACAGTAGACCATGTAGCTGCACGGCAGATGTGAGGAAGATCTCAATCTGAGTCTCGTGTGTTGGATAATAGCGGTTGTGGATGCCATGGGCCCGAGAAGGTGCTGGGCTTGATGGGCTGATTACCGAGGCTAGAGGTCGGAATGGTTGGATTGCTCACCTCAGTTTGGTGCTTCTTTCTCGTGGGATAAAGGCTCTGGCTTGTAGGCAGGCGAAATACGCTCCAGTATAGGTGGCAGTCTGAGAAGGTTTGAGATGGGATTTGGCGGAGACTGGTGAGACGATTCAGATCCAAAGACTGGGATAGGTATCGCCCGCCCTAAAGATGCAGGGCTTGAATGGGCCGAGGCCGGGCTGGAATGAACAACAGCCAGAGATAGGCCAGTACTCGCTGCAAGGCTAGCAACAGAAGCAGCAGCCTGAGCCGATGTCAAAGTCTGATCTTCTCTATAAGGGACAGAGCCAGGGGCATCTCTAGATAACTCTTCAAGAACTGGTGATGGCAATACCAATTGAGGTGGATCAATATGGGCCGATTTCGTAGCTTTTTTGTGGTCTTTTTAGGTTTATCCTTTTCTTAGAAGAGTCATCAGTACGGGTCGGGACTTCAAGCAGCAGCCTGAGCCGATGTCAAAGTCTGATCTTCTCTATAAGGGACAGAGCCAGGGGCATCTCTAGATAACTCTTCAAGAACTGGTGATGGCAATACCAATTGAGGTGGATCAATATGGGCCGATTTCGTAGCTTTTTTGTGGTCTTTTTAGGTTTATCCTTTTCTTAGAAGAGTCATCAGTACGGGTCGGGACTTCGACACAGACGTCGAGCTCGATTTCAAAGTTGACTTTGAATGGTCCTTTTGCTGAGGATTCGTTTGGCTCGATATTGGGCGAAGAATTTCATGACGTTCAGGAGTTAGAGATGTTGGCAGAGCCATGGGAACTGGATTTAAAGATTTTTCCCAGAGGTAAGAAAAGAGCTTTTGAAGTCGTAGCTTTAAGGCGGGTTTTGTAAGCTTTTTACACTTGGGACAGGAGTGTGCTTGGTTGTGTGCGTCAGTAAGTGGGATCTTCTTCGTGCAGAGCACGCACCACTTGAAGGGCCTGGGAGGGGCCATAAAAGATTGGGGAAAGAGAATAGAGAAAGGTGGGGGGAGGGGAAAAATACCACGGGAAGACTGAAAAACAAGTAAATTGAAAGGGGAAAACGAATTAACTCACAGGGGAAAATGTCCAAAGGAGGATGATTGAAAAATAAAGAAAGGATCCCAATGATCAATACTCTCAAACAATAGCACAATCGCTCTAACATTCCTAAATAGGTCTGATCCAAGTGGCAGCAAAAAGGAACTGAGGGGACTTCTAGCGGGCAGAGCATGCGCTCCACGGGGGAACGTCCTACTAATCACGTCTTTAAGCTCTAGAAACTTCCGAGAGGTCTTGTGCAGGCGCAGAACAACCTAATTGTGTGCATTCACAGAGGCCACAAAGGAGAACCCATGCCTGATGGAGTTCCAGAAGGGGGATGAACTAAGACAAAGTCATGGTCAGGGTGGTATCCGCACGCCATACATGTTTTTCCAGAAATTAACTGCCTTAATTTCCAGTTCATTCTGGTTGAAGAATGTGGCTGTTCTAGTCATATATATCAGCCCGGGGGGGTGGGGGGTTTGAACCACATTGTGAACAGTGCCTTTGAAATACAAAAGAGAACCAGCCACAACATAATGTCAAAACCAACTTTAATGTAGGGATGTGGGTGGAATATTTAACAACACCTGGACCCTGAGACCACGTCCACCTTCTATTCCCTCTCGTGTCTTCGTATGATCCAATTCACCAACCTTGAACATAACAGTGTTCCTTCTACTGTGGTTAACACACTGACCCATCTTTTTTCACTCATCCTGGCAGAAAGAGAGAAACATATAGCTACAGGCCACCCCAAGCCCACCCCAAATGCACCCGAATACAGACATGGTGCTAGATGTCTGAAATACCATTTCTTGCCCACTTCTGCCCCCAAGCAGTACCAAAGGCGTAAGGAGAAACCTTGAAATCCCTTCTTGGACTGTTTCTGGGATATCCAGATTTCCTCCAGTGGAACATTATCTGTTCAGAGGCTACAGACACAGCTTGAAAAAGTTACTACAACTCCCAGAATCCTCCAGCAGCCATACTGCCTAAGGGATTCTGAGAAATTTAGTCAAAGGTAGATGTTGGCTCCGTTTGTCTCTTATAGCGTGGACAGACTATGGAATGAAAAGGGTGGGCCTCCTCCAGGCTCAGCCCAGGATGCTAACATCTGCTGGAAACCCGTGCCGAGAGGGAAATTACCACAACACCCCCACTCAATATCCCCCCTCGCCCCAATCTTCTTTTCTGGCAATTCATCCTCATATGCAAGGACAGAGGTGGCCAAAGAGTCTCCCTGGGATATAAGCCCAGAGTAGACTGTGCAAGTTACTTGGCCCCAAGAATGTGAGTAATTAACACTGTTTAAATTTGCACCACTAAGTGAAGGCACGGAAACATCCACCCCCACCCCACTGGGTTCAGAGCAGTTTTTTAAAACACGTGGGCAAGTCCATGGCAGCTTCAAGAAAGCATGCTGAGGCCAGGAAGAGAAGATCCACCCGGCTCTCAATGCCACTTTTGGCCTCAGTGCTGACAAATGGCACTCAGGACTGAGTAAGAAAGGCAGAAGAGGTGTGCAGAAAATGTAGCCTTGGTTCTGAAGAGATGATGCCCTCCAAACAGTCAGTAGTGGAGATGTCAGGGTTAATGAGTGTATGTGTGCGCATGTAAGCATGGAGAACATGATGCTGATGGATGCAGGAAGTGTGTTCAGAAGGCGTCAAGGCAGTGAGATTTGTGAGTTTTAAAAAGCAATACCAAACAGTGGGCGTGTGGACGTGATGTGCACGTCTTGAGGGTCTAATCTCCAATACCAACTGGGGAGCCAGCTGGTGGGAAAAAAAGCACCAAGTTGTGTGTGTCTTAGTTAAAGACACCAGCCACTCTGGAGGAATGACTAGAACCTCCTCCAAATTTCAGGGTGGAACATTCTCAGGCAAACAGGGACTGCCCCTGGGAAGACAGAAGCCCGCTCCTCCTCTTACCCATCCCTCATCCCATGATATCCTTCAACAAGACAGTGCCTAGATGGTACGCCGACTCAGGTGAAAAGAGAGCGGGCTCCCCCGACACCACAGATGATTGTTACCTTAAATGTAGCTCATGTATTAAACATTTCTTTTTAAAAAAAAAAATTATTGCGTATGAGCTCCTTTCATTCAAGAACGGTTTGGGTAGGTCGGTTGTGCTCATTAAGCCAGAAAGTTCCAACTCAGTTCCTCAGGGAGCAACGAAGTGTCCAACCAAGGGGCGCCAAGGCTGTGCAGAGTCACAAAGCGGTCCCCTCCCCTCATTGGGGAGAGGTCGTCATTCAGGCCGGCGCTTGGAGGGCGGCACCAGGTGAGGGGGCAGCTCAGCAGGCAACTCGTGGCCCTCCAGCTTGACCTTGATGAGATGGTTGGCGAGGGCAAACTCCTCATCATCCAAAAGCCCGTCCTTGTCCACATCAGCCAACTTCCAGATCTTGCCCAGGACAGTGTTGGGCAGCTTTGACTTGACCATCTCCTTCTTGGCGCTGGCCCCCGTGATCTTGCCATTGACAGGCGAGAGGGTGTAGAAAATCTCGTCGTAGTTGGGCTTGTCCTTGGCCACCACCCACTCCACATCATCAATGCCCTCGCCTGCCCCCTCACCGTAGCCGTGCCCAAAAGGCCCATTCATGGTGCCCTCAAAGGCCCCGCCCTTCACCACCTGCGTTGGCATTTGTGACTCCTCCTGCCGCACCATCACCATCAGCCGGGCAATGTCGTTTGCCAGCATGTCGTCCACGGTGTCCAGCAGCTTCTGCTTCAATGGCTGGAACTTGCTGAAATCCTGGGTCATGAGCTGCTCCTGAGAAACCAACGTGGGCAAATGAATCAATACAAAATACTCTAACATACGATATGAAACACTACTTATCTATATCTGATTGACAGAAAGCTATTTGGAAAAATGCAAGAGGCCCCAATTCTCAGAAAATGCAGGAACCACTACTTAGGATGGGATATATGGGCTACAGATCCCATAATTCTCCAATATGGGAGGGTCTTCTTGAACTGGAAGGCCATAGGCTATATACATCCTCCCTGCAAACTCCCAACCCATCTAAAGAGCCTCTCTCAATTACAGGTACCCTACTATCACCATTGGTGATGGTAGTGAGGCTCAACAAGACTTGAAACTCTTGCCCTCTTACCAGTCAGTCCTGGTCCATCACACCCTGCCACCCAACAGATCAATGCAGTTGATCACAGGCCAACCTGTTCTTCTTTGAATCTCATACCTGCATCTTACGGAGGTTCGGGAAATCGCCCGGTGAGATCTGGTGCTCCCGCTCAATCTTGAGATAGATCTCCCCCAGGTTGTTTACCAGCTCCTTCTTCTTGCTCTCCTTCCCAAAGACATTGGGCATCTCCTTCTTCAGCGAACTGATGATATAGGCATGGACCTGCCAGTCACAGGCAGCAGTGTAATTTCAGGGGGGGGGGAGGAGAAGAAGCAGGTCAAAAAGTTAGCATCTGTGCCATGGATACCTGGGGCAAAACATCGGTCTGCACTTTGGATGCTCGGGGCCCCGCTCAGTGCTCTTGTACCACCTTGAACATGTCTGATTTTATTTATTTATTGGATTTATACCCTGCACCATTTGGCAACCAGGCCACCCTGGGCGGCTAACAACAAGAAAACAGCACAATGTCAAAACATTTCACATATATAATAACCAGCAGGATAAATTAAAACAAATGGCAATGAAGCTGGTGAAAAGGATGATGAAAAGGATGGCAAAAAGGGTGGTAAAAGAGAGGCCGAGATCTCAAAAAACCTAATGCTCAGGGCAAGCCTGGCGGAAGAACCAAGTCTTCAATGCTCATTTGAACCCACCCAGCAAGGGTGCCAGGCGGATCTCAATGGGCAGGTTGTTCCACAGGCAGGGGGGGGGGCGACTGCCAAGAAGGACCGGTTTCTTGCCCTTTCCCTCAGGGTCTGCTTCGGGGTCAAGGCCCTCAACCACCCTGCCTGTGAAGAACGGGTATTATAGACAGATCTGGCTGAGAGCAGGCATTCTGATAGGTACCGAGGTCCTAAACTGTTTAGGGCTTTGAATGTTATCATCATAACCTTGAAGTTGATGCAGAAATGAACCAGTAGCCAATGAAGGGCAGCCAGACTGGGGGAGATGTGCTGGAATTTCTTCACCCCAGTTATTAATCTGGTCGCTGAATTTTGGACCAACTGAAATCTCCACATCAACCTCAAGGGTAGCCCCACGTAGAGAGCACTGTCTATTTTTGAGATTACGAGTGCATGAATCAGTGTCATGAGTATCCCCGCGTCTAGATAGGGATGCAGCTGGGCAATCCTCCAAAGATGGAAATGGGCTGCCCGAACCACAGTCGTCACCCGAATTTCCATGGTGAGATCCGGGTCCAGGCAGATGCCCAAGCTGTGAACCTCATTCTTTGTGGGAAGAGTCACTCCCCGAAAGGATAGGGAGCTTCCCAACCCACTGACACCAGGGCTGCCCATGCACAAGATGTCCATCTTGTCTGGATTCAAGCTCAGTCCATTTGCCTTCACCCACCCCAGGACGGTCCCCAAGCAGTGTTCAAGGGTCGGAACAGCATCCAGTGCAGTTGGAAAAAAGGAGAGGTTGAGCCGGGTGTCCTTAGCGTACTGATGGCACCGGGCTGCACAACTCAAGAGAGCCATCCCAGGAGGATACTGTGGTCGAGTGTATCAAAGGCTACTGAGATACCGGGGAGGAGCAACACGGACATATTGCCCCTGTTGGCGTCCCTCAGGACGTCATCCTGCAGGGCGACCAATGCTGTTGCCATACCTTGGAAGCCCAACCAGATCGGATCAAGGGCATCAGTTTCCTCCAGGAGTTCCTGGAGCTGATCGGCCACCACCCTCTCAACCACTTTACTCAAGAAAGAAATATTGGTGATGGGCCTATCATCCCCAATTTTGTCCGCCGCCAAATTAGGTTTCTTTCAAATGGACCTAATCAGTGAGGGCAAGGAGAGACCCATTAATTATTGCAGTGACTTGTTGTTACCAGCTTGGCTGCTTTCATGTCAAAACTACCAGTATATCCCATGATACCATCACTCTGACACGGAGGGAGGTTTTTCCATACTGTGATCCCTACCAGATGGAAGCTTACCAAGGACATTCTTATTACCAGGTTTGTTTGTGTTTTTTTAAAAAAATATATATGTTTTCCTAATTTCTGAGCCTGGTACCATCTGCGAAGGTTAACATGGGCGAAAATTTGGCCCCAACCTGAATAAGCTGTCCACCTTGGTAGAGTTAGGTTATACCACAGCAAGAACCACAGTTACGCTCATCTTTCTCTCTAATGTGGAAACAGAGCATGCATTACTGATGTACTATTCTACTTCTTCCTTACAGCCTGCAGGGCGTATGGCCCTTCCTCTTGTCCTGCTGGGCTCCTAGAAGGAAAACCCATCTTTACTAGGCTGGTATTTGAGGCAGGGGTCCAAACTCTTGACAAGTGGAAGGACTACCCCATCTGGGCAGAAGACTTGGGCCAGCACAAAAACTTAGCAGAAGCCCCAACCCCCCGAGATCCTGACCTTGGCCAATCTGGCCCTCTTGATGAGGTCGTTGAGCTTTCGGAGGGCGGCATTCCTCGGCAGGGACTGGATGTCCTTGAACAAGTCCTGCTCTTCTGCCTCAAATAGTTTTCGGTTCTCTGGGATGAGAAGCGGGTGGGACCAAAAGGAGCCAATGTAGACCCGCACCACCTCTGGTGTGTTGATGATTTTGCCCAGGGACCACATGAGGGCACCATAAACCCGCATCAGCTGCTGTGTCTCGATCTGGTCCGCCTTGTTCAGCACCACCCGGATCTTGTCCTCGTGGTTCTTTAGGGCCTTGATCACCTCTGAAAACTCATCTGAGATGTCAAGCTTGTGGGCATCAAAAAGCAAGATGATACGGTCCACCCTCTCCGCAAACCACTCCAGGACTGCTGCAAAATCATAGCCTGCAAGAAACAAAAGGACATGTTGCCCCTATCAATAGAAGGGATCTTGGAAAACGCTGAGGACCCAATGCAACTCCTCAAGAGTAGACAAGGGACCCCCCTGGTTCAATGCTTGTGAGGAAAGGACCCCCTTGATCTAAGACCCCAAAGACCTATTACCAGTCAAGATAAAGTACACTTTACTCCAATATGGAGCCCAAGATGGGTTTGGTATATGGCAGCTTACTAAGGAATACTGTGTTTTGTTCTCTGTACGTTATACCACAAACTAATTTTTGCTATAAAAACATTATTTGCTTTCATTAGCAAATAATGCAGAAAATATGAGAAAATGGGCAAGTGGTCAGTGGAGTTTGGGAAACTCCTCCCCTCCCACACACAACAGAAACTGGACTTAAGGGTAAGATTGGGAAAGCATACAGAAAAAGCTGCTCCACAGATGTTCCTGCAAGAGGCATTCAACAATGAGGGCACTAAAGACACATGCATGGGGATCAGAAGCCCGCTCCTCCTTCCTGATACGGAGGGGGGCTACGACTTTGCAACTGATCCCAAATTTCTTCCTCAGAGTTTTCAGTCATTCGCTCTTCAGCTCTAATTTTTTTAGAATCAAGTATGTGTTTTAGTCTCCTCCCTTTCCCCCCTTTGCATGCTGTGTTTTAAAGGAAAGTGGGCTGTTTTCCTGGCTGGAAGAAAAAAAGGGATGTTTACAGCAGTACAAAATTTTAAAGGCTAATCCAAAGGGAAGAGTCTCACTCATGGGTGAGACGTGGGCACTGTGTTTTAAAGGAAAGTGGGCTGTTTTCTTGGCTGGAAGAAAAAAGGGATGTTTACAGCAGAGCAAAAATTTAAAGGCTAATCCAAAGGGAAAAGAGTTTAACTCATGGGTGAGACGTGGGCGCCCTAGGAATTCCTTACGAGAAAGGTTATGAAGGCTCTACTTCTCCTTAGCTACACATTACAGTGGTGCCTTGCTTTACGATTGCCCCGCATTACGACAAAACCTCATTATGACAATCTTTTTGCGATCGCAATTGCAATTGCAAAACAATGGTCTGAATGGGGTTTTTTTGCTTTGCGATGATTGGTTCCCTGCTTCGGGAAACGATTCTTCGCAAAACAACGATTTTCCTCATGCTGATCGGCGGTTTCAAAATAGCCACTGGGTAAATAAAATGGCTCCCTGCTGTTTTCTGGGACGGATTCCTCGCAAGACAGCCACCAAAAATGGCCGCCCTATGGAGGATCTTCGCTGGACTGTGAGTTTCCAGCCCACTGGAATGCACTGAAGAGGTCTCAATGCGTTTCAATGGGCTTTTTATTTTCGCATTATGACGTTTTCGTTCTACAGCGATTTCACTGGAACAAATTAACGTCGTAATGCGAGGCACCACTGTATTCCGCTTCTCCTTCCACTTTCCATTTTTTCTTGGAAGTCCCAAAAGCTGACACAAGCCTTAGTGTGAACAAGCATGCTATCTTGTAACCTCATTTCAACACCCAGTCCTGTTTCCCAGCACAGAGGAAGTGACATAGTGATTTGGTGACAGTGGCTGCTTTTGTTTGGTTAAAAACGTTTTTCTAAACAAGAGCGTTTTTCTAAACAGAGCTCAAAGTGGGTTTCCCCCCCTCCCCCACTTGGAGGCCAAGAGACCAACAGGCATGAGAACACTTGAGGGATTATGAAGTAGCTGGCCGTCTGCATCATGTCAGAAATGTTCAACAAAGAGGATGGAAGCCACTCTAGATACCAGTGGTCAGCTCAAAAGGTGTAAACATTTAAGGACCAGCCTACCAATTCTTGTTTGTTTTTACCCTGCCTTTGTCCTTAAGGGAGACCTAAGGCAGCTTACATAATTAAAAAGACAATATATAACAATGCTTTCAAAATGCCTTCTCAGCTGGGTGTTATCTTCCTGAGACAGAACTCCAAAACTCCAGACGAACTCTCCCAATAGTTTCATGTAGGGGGTAAACAGCACAGGGACAGAACAGAGCCCTGAGGGACACCACAGGCCAACGGGCAGGGTGTTGAACAGGAGTCCCTCAGCACCACCCTCTGGGTTCTCCGCTCCAGGAAGGATCAGAGCCACTATAAAACAGCCCCGCCAAGTCGCAGCCCAGAAGGATACCATGGCTGATGGTATGGAAAGCCACTGAGAGGTCCAGCAGAACCAACAGGGACACACTCCCTGGCACAGACGATCCACCAAGTTGACCAAAGCAGCCTCCATCCCATCCGCAGACTTGAAGCCAGACGGAAATGGATCAAGATAACCCGTCTCATCCAGGAAACTCTGGAGGTGAAAAGTCACCCCCCGCTCTGGCACCTTGCCCAAGAATGGGGACATTACAGACCAGCCCGTGATAGTTATCCAGTCCTGTGGGGTCCAAGGAGGGGGTGTTCAAGAAGGGTCTTTCTGCTGCCTCTTTGGAGCAAGCTGGGTTCCTCCTCCGCTGCAACGAGACAGTCGCCATCACTCAGACCCACTTGGTCAGTCTCTCTCGATGGCAGCTTTTACGTATAAGCCAGGAAGGGCAAGGGTCCAGGAGGCAAGTGGTAGCCTTCACCTTTCCAAGGGTCCTGTCCCCATCATCGGGCCGTAAAAACGGAAAGCTGTCCATGAACGCAGGACCAGCCAGAGCCATAGTGACAGCCACAGGACCGATATTAACTACAGCACCCAAGTCAGAGCGCATCCAAGTGATTTTTGCCTGCAAAGTGCTGTGCAGATTCTTAACAGCATGCTACATTATGGTCTGCATTCTCTCCCTGCAGACCAGGCACTTGACCCATCTAAACAGTTCTGCTGGGTGACTCTGTGCAGATGATAGAGAAGAACAACCTCTTCTCCACTGCCACTGAATGAGGCCTTCCAATGGGCTCTACTCCATGTATGATTGAATTCATTCCAGGTTTTCTGCCATCAGTGTTCTAGTCCCAGCTTCCCAGTAAACCAGGCGGGCCAATTTGACTCTACTTCTTGGGAGGTGACACTTAGGAGTGATCATGTCAACAGCCCATGCCGCTTCCCCATTCCAGGGATCAACCAGGGCTTCAAAAGAATCAACCACCGAGGTGACAGGAAACTCCCCAAGAGCCATTAGGAAACCACACAGAAACCATCAGCCTCCCGGGACAGACAAAACTAATTCATCCCCCACCGCTGGCAAAGGCTCTGGGCTCCAATGAATCTAAAACTGCACCAGATTATGACCTGGCCATGACAACGGAACTGCCATGTTTCCCCGAAAATAAGACATTAATTGGTTTATACATTAAGTTTTGTTCCAAAAAATGCAGCCGTGTTTCCCCGAAAATAAGACATTAATTGGCTTATATATTAAGTTTTGCTCCAAAAAATGCAGTAGGACCCATTTTCAGGGGATGTTTTATTTTTTTCATGTACAACAATCTACATTTATTCAAATACAGTCATATCATCTTCTGGTTGCTGCACAAGGCTGGAGGGCGGGGTTTCACTTAACTGGGGCTTATTTTTTGAGTAGGGCTTATATGACAAGCATCCTGAAAAATCATACCAGGGCTTATTTTCAGGTTAGGTCTTATTTTCGGGGAAACAGGGTACACAGAGAGTTCCACACCCAGATCACCAACATCTACTCCAGGATGGATAATCAGATCTAAAATGTACTCTACAGTGATGTGATGAAGGATCCCCCTAGGCACCTACCTAAAATTAGCCCTTTATGTGGACAGTAGAAAGGGGCACAAATTAAGTCGGCCTGCTCTAACGAAATTCGCAGCACCTGTTCCCTCCCTCCACCCCTTGGCCTGCTGCCACACTCACAAGCCGCCGTGCACCACGCGGGCCCTCCTTCTCCAGCAACTCTCCAGCCTGGGAAGGAGCTCAGGCTTCCTGCCCTCGCCTCCTCCAGCAGCCACCCACTCAAATGAGGAGGCAGGACAGGGATTCTCTTGGAGGAGGCGGGAAAGGGAAGCCCAAGCTCCTTCTCCGACTGGACAGTCACTGGAGGAGGAGGAGGACCCGGGTGGTGCAAAGAGGCTTATGAATGGGGCAGCCAGCTTTGGGATCGCTTTGCACTTGTGGTGCCATCACTGCGCCAACACGTTTCATTGGAGAGGGCCAACTTAATTTGTGCCCATCTCTAGTGGACAATGACGACCAGAAGCTTGCTTTGTGTTTTGGAAGGAGGACTGCAGTACATTGAACAGGGAGGGCTAATATTCAGTCCTCACCATCTCTGGGGGCAGTTCAGAAAGACCCTGAGCTTTGGCACTCTGGGGAGCCCCTGTTAGCCGGTGTAACCAACCCTTCTTTCTTAGGAACTGGCCTGAGCAAATTCTGAAGACCTGCTCCCTATTAACCAGAGAGCTTTAAAAACGTATCAGTGCAGAGATGCTAACTGAAGATTTTCTTATGATGGGAATTGTTCTACGGGTATGTACTCCTTTACCATCATCCTTCAACCTTCTCTACAGCAGTACAACTAGCAATTCTTTTCCAAAAGAGCATCAACTGCAGCACAAGCAGTAAAGAGTATGGGGACCGCTTAAAGACTATCAGGTTTTACTTAACATGTTTTTGTGGACAGCATAGCAGAATCCACAAAAGCTTACACAGAATGAAATACTGTATGTTAATTTCAAGGCACAATACATCTGTAGAGTAAGAAAATGGAAACCCGGTGTGGGGGGGGGGGGGGGGCAATGTGTAGCCTGTATAATTTAAAAAATTGTAAACCGCCCGGAGAGTGCTTGTAGCGCTATGGGGCGGTATATAAGCCCAATAAATAAATAAATAAATGGACTGACAGGTATTACTTAGCATGTTTTTGGGGACAGCATAGCGCATCGGACAAATTAAGCAGAATCCACAAAAGCTTACACCGAATGAAGTATGTTAATTTCAAGGCACAATAGATCTGTTAGAAAAGCATCACTGATGACGATAAGAAGGCAAGGAGCTTTAAGTGCAAGAACTTTGAATAACTGGCCGGTCAAGACGCTAGCCAAA